TAGCTATGGGAATGGGGGAAGTGGGTTGAATCACCAATGTGTAGTGACCATTTTGAGTTACAAATGAAATTAAAATTCATTATTGATACAATGATAAAGTTTGATAAAAAGGAAATAAAGAAGATCAAATCTTTGGAACAGCTTTCCAATTATGTGCACCATGAAAAATACTCAAAACTTCATGACTCCTTTTAGTAGTATTGTTACTGGCAAGAAGCACTGCTGTTCTACCATATTATTAGTACACCAAGAAGTAGTACTAGTAGAGGGAGTTGCACAAGGACTGTAATAGTAGGAACACAAGTACTGCTACAACTGCATGGTACTACTAGCATGTAACATATGGCTGATGTTGTGTTCTCCCTGGCAATTTAATAAAGATCATGAATATGCCTTGTGATATACACCACTAAAAATGCTGGTACTAGTTGACAAAATAGTCCAATTGAGATTTATTCATAGATGCTATTTGTTCCTGCTCTATCCTTCTCATGTCAGAGACAAAAACTCAATCTGMTGTATCAAGAAAGCAGAGGACAAKATGAATTCAAGAAAGTGGCATAACATACTGGTAAACAAGACTGACAACAAAGCTGACTTGTCATTAACTTAATATTATATTTGACCTTCTTCTTAACCAGAAGAGGCACTAGGATGAGCAGAAATAAGAACACTTCTAGCAGTAGTATGTAGTAGTCCCTCTGACAAGGGGCAGCACTTCTGAAGAAGCACAACRACTTCTTGGGTAATGAAAAGCAATGGGGTTTCCTAGTATCACCAAGTTAAGAATTGTGTAATTGTGGTGGTTTGGAGTGATCTGGAAGGAGTATCAAGTGGGGCCAAAGAAGTATCTAGTGCAAATGTACACATTTGTGTTCTTTCTTTTTGGAGTACTATGTGCTGAAGACCAGAAAATCTTGTTTTGTCAACTCCAGGGGTTGTTTAATAGTATTGATCAATGGTGGGAAGTGTTGTSTTGTAAATTTTGAGGCAATGCAAGAGGAAATTTTTGATGGCAATTGATGTGAAAGCTTTTGGGTCAGGAGGAATGAAATATTGTCACATGGACAAGTCTAGGGGTCAGAGAGAACAAACAGTGGAGTTTCTTTGTTAACCAAACTCTGTACAGTGCCTGGAATGGTGCTTCTGAGAAACAGTACACCCATAGAGATCCCAATTACATCATTGCTCCCAACAACAAAGAATATTGTGAACTCAAAAAAGAATTCAGTCAAGGAGGTTCCCAACACTGCTGATGAATAGGAGCTCCATAAAATGGTAGAGATATCATGGATCAGAGATCCAATGCTGAGAGAGGTGGCCAATAAACAGATGGTGTCAACCAATCTCTGTTTGAAAGTGTAGTATGACAGGGTGGAGACTCCTGAGGTATTTCTCCTAAGCAATGGACAAATTTTCACCCTTCTTGTCTAGTAGTAACCATTTGGGAACACAGTAAACCAAGGTTTTAATTGCAATAGATTGGTATCCAATGTTGGTAATGATAGTTATCRTATTTCTCATGGGCGGCTTAGTGGAGTGTAGTTGAAAGTCAAGAAAGTCCACTGGGGTATRAATAGCAGAGAMGACAAAGGCTGTCCTCCTGCTGAGCAAAAATTCAGATTTTATTTTTGATTTTTCTTTACTAGTAGTACCCTTCTCCATCATGGATTGGCAAGCCCACCAACCAACCTACTGCTGGATATTTCCCATGTTTTTGTTGGTTGATGTTTATGGTGATACTAGTAGATTGCAATGGATACGTACGTACTGTATCCGAAGYATACTTACTACGTACTGTATAGCAATACAAAAAAGCATACATACATACGATGCTCCCTCGGAATAGATGGACATACCATTCCTACCTATATATCGTAAGGTACTACTCGTACATATATATCATACAATCCAACGTACTAGTAAGGTGCAATGGATACGTACATACTATATTGAATCGATACATACATACTAATTGGAAGCATAGTACATATATACAATGCTCCCTCGGAATAGATGGACATACCATTTCCTACCTATGTATCGTAAGGTACTATTCGTACATATATATCATATGATCCATCGTATTGAGGTTCATAAGAGGTCCAAGATACCATTCGAGAATAGAATACCTCACAAAGAACAAAGATGTCAGAAGTCCGGAACAGAGAATCCTTGGGTAGATTCAGTACCAGATCTACACAGGATTCAGATCAGAACCTCGGAACTCTCGTGAACGCGCTTGGTAATCTTAGAATAGTTCTAATCTTATAATTCAATTTTATGCACACTAAAAACATACTAGTAAGAGTACATGTATCTCGTGCACAAGGATCCTAAGAGGTCCAAGATACCATTCGAAGAACACTAGTACTACGAGTTTTGTAACAATTGCACATCATCTCGCCCAGAGAGCAAAAAGTAATAATTTGAAGTTCTAAACTTTGATTTGAAGTTATGAACTTTTGCTTGTACATCATGTACCAGGTTCTACTGAGCTAATTTTTCAAAATGGCTGAATGGCCAAATCACAATTCCACTCAAAGCAAAAAAAATGGGTCAGGAACCATGTCAATTTCGATGTTTTTCAAAAAATTTAAATTCTCTGGTCCCCTTTTTTCCATTATGTGATCGGTTTTGATCACAAAAAAATGTGATCAGAAATGATCACAAAATTGATGAATTTCTTGATCAGCACAATTTTTTG